GACTGCAATCGATGGATATTGACGTTGGTTGTGTGGCATGTTGCACCGTCTTGTTGGAAATAAACATCGTCCATATCCATTCCTTCAAGTTGCGGCAAAAAATAGTCCTCTATCATCACGTGATATCGCTCAGAATTGACGGTAACGGCGTCCCCGGCCGCATTTTCAAAAAAGTAAGGTCCGATGATGCCTTTTGACCACAATGCACACCACACAGTCACTTTTTGAGGATGCATCGGCTGCTCTTGATACTCACGGGGATTTTCGTTCGCCCAGATGCGGCAGTTTTGCTTGTTTACCGTCCCATTCAAAGTGAAATGCGCATCGTCGCTGAACATGATTTTTGATGAAAAATTGGCATCAATTTGGCGGTGTTCAAGGAGCCAATCTGAGAACGTTCGGCGCGAAAAGTGGTCGGCCCGACGCAGCTCTTGCGTCAATTGGATCTTGTAGGCGTGTACATTCAAATCCTTGTGGAGAATGCGGAGCAAACTGGTTCTCGAAATGCCCAATTCTTGGGATCGACGCGTTGTTGATTGTTTCGGATCATCTCTCACACTCTCCTTCACAACAGCAATATTTTCCGGTGTGCGAACGCTCCTTGGCCTGCCAGAGCCTGGCAGATTTGCCACAGAACCTGTTGACTCGAATTTACGCACCAGACAACCGATGGTTGTTTCGTTTGGGCGGTTGTTGCGACCGAAATGTTCACGAAGCGCGCGAAACGTGTTTTTTATTCTTGCACCATTTTTGTAGTGCTCTTGAATAACTTTAATGCGGTCTTCAATCGAATACGACTCCATAGCGATCAATGGTAAACATTCAACTAACAAAATGACATGTCGGTGACAGAAAACAAAGATGGCGTCTATGTCAAATTGACGTTTACTTTCCTGCGTCCCTATTGGACAACCCTGTAACATCCAAAAAGTATAATATATCATTTTCAGTAGGCGTGCGAGGTAAAACGAATGGAAGAGGAGAGCGAAAAGGAAAGAGATTTCATTTATGAAATAAAACGATAAAAGGTTTGTTAAGTTTTATAATGTTCCATTGTCGTACAAACTTTGTTCAAGTATTTTAATGTTGACGATTCCTCACGATCACAATAAGCAAAACTGTCGATGGAGGCTTTCCAAGTCGCTCACTCAAGGAGGTTGTGATGGCTCAAAAACACATCACACCCGGGTTGAGTGAGTAACTTAAAAAACCACTTAGTTTGCTGCCATAGATCTTCTTCCTTCTTACACGATCCTCCACAAGCAAATAATGTTCGAATCAGTTTGGTTCACAGATATTTGACGTCAGTGTAGCTTTCACTATCGGCTTGCCGAGTGTGCTGACGAGACTCAGGCTATAGTCGAAACAGGCTGGCGCAAAATAAACGATACGGCTTGAATTATTTATAGCATGCCGGCTCTTAAGAATTGATATTCATTTGTTCTGATTTTGCAGAGAACGTAAGGAAAGTTTGATATAGAGTGATATATTGGGTAATGAGACTGGCAACGTAGCGTTCGATCTGGCAACACTGGAGGTGCCGGGCTTGGAGGAGAGACAAGGGAACATGTGATCCGCCTTCAGTACAAGTTTGAACTCGCTCGAGTCGTTTGGTTGTCCCCAGCGATTGTTTCTGATTGTGTTCGAAAAATGAGCGACATCAATTTCGAGCAACGGTTTGCTATCAGGTTTTGCTTCAGACTCTTCAGAAACTCTTGCTGAATTGCAGCAGGCCTACGAAGATAGTGTTTTGTCAAGAGTACAGGTTTTTCGGTGGCTTAAGGCATTTTCAGAAGGGAAAAGGTCGATTGAAGATGAACCACGAAGCGGAAGGTCTTCATCTTCAAGAACTGATGAAAATATCGACAGAATCCGGGATATTGTACGTTCAGATCGTCGGTTGATAGAACGATCGTGGAGTACTTAAATTTGACTCACACCACCGTCCATCAGATTTTGACTAGTGAATTGGGGATGAGAAAAATCTGCGCAAAAATGGTTCAAAAAAACCCTTTCGCAAGACCAAAAGGAGAACAGGAAGGAAAGGTGCCTGGACTTTTTGGATTCTATTGAAAATATCCCCATTTTCTAGAACGTGACATTACTGTTGACGAGGCTTGGGTGTTTGCGTGCGACCCAGAAACCGAGTGTCAAAGCATGGGGGTGGCACACTTCAACCTCTTCAAGGACCAAAAAAAGCAATAAAGACAAAGTCGAAGATCAAATGCATGCTGATTTGGTTTTTCGATATCCACGGAATCGCCCACAAAGAGTTCCTACCTCAAGTCCAAATGGTCAATCACCACTCTTACATCAACAAGAACTGGCTGTTGCATCACGATATGCTCCTTGTCACTCAGCAATGTCAATAAACGAGTTTTTGGCCAGTAAAAATATTCCTGTGGCTCCTCAGCCTCGCCTGACGTGTGAGCCCCGGTGACTTCTTTCTCTTCCCGAAGTTGAAAAATCACCTCGAAGGAACTCATTTTGGGACAGTCGAAAATATCACTGGACAACAAATTTTAGTTTTTTAATTGTATCTTGTGGGAAAAGTACACTTCTTTGTTAATTTTGGGTTTAGAAAAAAAACTTTTTATTTTTAAGGATATATTAAAAAAAGTAACAAGATTCATATACTTATAAGAATCACTATATGCGCTGTCTTTTTGCTGTTCTTTTATGGATCGTTTCTGAAGCATCTCTACCAAGAGTCCAACAGTAGTCTGCAAGCATGGAAGGATTCCACTTTCCCTGGTACCTTTTTTCCATTGTTGAAATATCCTGATGAAAACGTTCGCCGTACTCATCACTTACGGCTCCGCAATTGTCAGGAAAAAAGTCCAGGTGTGAGTGTAGGAAATGTATCTTAAGAGACATATTACAGCCCATCTTTTGATACGATGACAGCATATTTTGACAAGGGTTTTATAGTTGTCAGCTTTTCTATTTCCCATGAAATTAGTGACTACCAGACGGAAATCATTCCAAGCAGTTTTTTCAATACCTGTTAAAGTGTTTTCAAACTGTGTATCTTTCAAAATATTTCGAATCTGTGGCCCAACAAAAATACCTACTTTAACCTTTGTCTTGGAAATTTCTGACGCAGGTATTGAAAAGCTGACCCATCTCTATCTAATGCCTTGACAAAGTTTTTCATTAGGCCCAACTTGATATGTAGTGGTGGTAATAAAATTTTTTTCGAATCTACTAATGGCATATGCTGTACATTTTTTTGACCTCTCTCTAGGAATTGACGAACAGGCCAGTTTTGTCTGGTGTAATGAAGTGCCTTTGCCCGACTGTCCCATTCACACAAAAAACAGCAAAACTTTGTGTAGCCTAGCTGCAGCCCACGTAAAAGTGCAACAACTTTCAAATCGCCACAAATATGCCATTGGTGCTCATCGTATTTTATGCATGTCAATAGGTACTTCATATTGTCATATGATTCTTTCATGTGAACTGCATACCCTACAGGAAGAGATGGTAAAATATTTCCAATATGCAATAACACTGCCTTTAAACTCAATGTTGAACTGTCTATAAACAATCTCCATTCTTCTGGGTTATAGTTTATATTTAAAGCCGCCAGTAAGCCGTTAATGTTACTGCTGAAAACCAAGTTATTCTCCATATTGAAAAATGGTTCTAAGTCTTTGTGGCGTTTAAGAAAAACACATACCGAAACATCGTCTTCTAACAAGTTCCACTGCTGCAGTATTGATCCAAGTAACTCTGCCTTACATTTTGGAAGTTCTAAATCTGTTACAAGATCATTTAATTCTGACTGTGTTATTTTGTGCGGTTGGTGGCATGGCGTGCTCGGTATAAAATCAGGATTTCTTGAGGTTGACGGCATATCTTCTTCCTGACGAATCACTCGATCGCCATGATCTGATTAGTTTTCTGATTCGCAAGTGTAGGATTCTGGGGGTTTTGGAATAGGATTTTCGTCACTGTGAGGCACAGGTCTCATCGCAGATGGTATGTTTGGGTAGTTAATAACCGATTTTTTTTTCTTGGATATACCTGTGGCTTGTCCAACACAAGTTACCATGCAAAAGTAACAATCATTAATATGATTTGTAGGCTCTCTCCAAACCATTGGGACAGCAAAGCGCATAGACCGTTTTTTGCCATTTAACCAGCTCCTCAGACTTGAAGCACATGTATTACAGCAGATGTGGGGTGCCCACTGTTTGTCTTGATCACCTAGTTTACAACCGAAATAAAGCTGATATGCTTTTGTTATTAGTGGAGTAATAGACCGTCTTTGAGACGCAAAAGACACATCACCACATACGTAACAAAACTGATCTGGATTGTTTACACACTTTCGAGACATCTTGCATGAACGCTGTCAGCCAACTGAGGAAAAAATGGCTAATATAAAACAATATAATGTACACGGGTGTATAAAGTAACACAATCATGCCGATTACATCATCTTTCCTTGCCGAATATAAAAATGTAGCACGTACATTCTTGTGAATTACAGTATCTTAACACTGTCACAGCAGGAACACATATAATTACCGTATCTCTAAAACTTGAACTAATATTGAAAAAATAAGTTTCATTCCGGTTTTACCACATTAAAAATAGTAATATTTTGTTGATTTTATTTAGGATATTTTTTGGCTGTTGATCAGTGATTCAAACGGCTGTAATCGACCAGCTGAAGGCTCTTCCAGTATTGGTGTTCAAGCACTGCTATGAGTAGTGAAAGAACCGCCTCTAGCGCTGTATGGCTTCAGGAATTAATTTTGATAATGGCAATATAAAATTGTAATTATATTTGAATAGAAGTCTCATTACTTAATTTACAGACCTCATATCATGGACCAATGAATGAAAATCGTAGAAATTTACTTTAAATGTTCGGAATTTGCTGTTTTACCGTACGCGCCGGATTTTATCGCGCTTGAGATCTTCTCTTGGGGGTATTCGTATGAATAACTGTAATTATGCCTTTATGTCAAGGAACATCGCCTGCTTGAATGACAACATTTGCAAAGAAACTGAAGTTATCAGGCTCGACATCCCGAGGTAAGTTATCTAAAGCGCTATAGAAAGAACTAGCCAAAGGTATGATGACAATTTTTTTCTCACTGTTACTTTTTTATTTTAGAGAAAGGCCACCGAGGTGGCCGAAAAGTTAACAATCATGCGTTCCAACATATTACAGAGTCTTAGCAATTGCAAATAATGCTTAAGGAAACGTTAACCTTGACATTTAAATAAGAAGTCAATGAATTGTATGTCTGTTGTCGTTAGAGTTCAAGTATGCGCTATTTATGATTGCCAAACTCAGTATTTAAACATAGAGATTTACATACTGAATATTTGAGGTTTTTAATAATTTGTTAAAATGGACAGTGATGATTATAATATTCAAAATTAATAATTACCAGTTTATTCGCCCAACTATTCTGTATTAATTCCTCGACAAAATCATATGATGATCAGGCATAAATAAACATTAAACAGAATGTATGTATCTGTTTATAAATCACAAACAAATTGTTGCTGTGCCTGGGGTATTAGGCCCTAATTGAATGCCAAAAAGCAAATTGCAATGTAATAACGAAAAACACTTCACAGGAAAATGATATTGTAATATAATAATGTTTGTATTTACTGTTTAAACATCAGGATATGCATTGGAAAACATAAACCGTGTTTCCAAAATATGATGAAACATTTTCTGATATTCTTATCAGTATGTGTCACTGAGTCTACTCTTTTTCACAAACGCGAACATGCCTATTAGTATAATTTTGTTACTAATTAAATATTAAAAATATCTAAGAACGTTTTGAAATAATCTTTGTAATGCTACGCATCCTTTACTACACGTTTACGAATGGTAGTTGAGAATTTGATTACTGGAAAACGTAATTTTCAAAACCTTACGTATCCCTCATTTGAAAATTGGGTGTTAATGCTTTATTCTTAAGCAAGGATGCAGAACATATTAAACATATTTTTTTCTTTATATTTTTTCACTATGACAGCTCTTTTGTGCATCTTGTTTTTTAATCAGTGCTTTTGCTGTTTTATCGCTTTCTATTATTTTTTTTTGTGTGACCATTTCTTACACTGTTGTACAGTTAAATGCAAAATAAAGTTGAATCTGACTCATCCGAATTGTCTTTCTCCTGTTTTTTGTTTAGAATTTGTATGTGTCGGACCGATCTACTTGACTCGATACTTTCATTTCTTAAGTTGCATGAAATACAAAAGCAAGTTTCCTCCATCACTCGAATTCACGACCCCAACGAAAGTATTCCATTGAATAACAGCACATCACAAAACGTCAGTTCCAGATTCCTGCTCTGGTATTAAAATTAATAGCTAGGATTCTTTGTGTCTATAGGTAAGTGACTCGTGAAAAATTAATTATGGAAAAAGGCTAAAATTAATTAAAAGCTATTACAATTCCTGGTTTCTGGAACATATTTCAACTTTACCACTTTACGATATTTTTAAAATCTCGTAAATTTCGTTTTACTGTATATACCAGGATATCTAGAATTTGAAAGAAATTCACACACGTAGTGCGTCAACCGTATTCTCCTCAGTTTTATACACTAAGCATGTCATTCCACCCCAAACAGAAAAATAAATCACGAAGGAATTTGACAAGCGATCCGCATGCACTCGTGAAGCCTCGGTAGCTTTTTCAAGACACTCACCGCAAATTAAAATAATATGAGCAACTCAGATATTGCTGTACGGGTGTGTGCCGTCTTTGTTTTCTTTTTTAGAACCCATGTGTAAGGGTTTTGTTTACCAACGCGGCCAGGGCCAGCGACTGGATTGAGTACTGATACACAAGGTGCAGGGTGGGATTAGGTTTTGATTTTACGGAGCATAACATCTCGATAATCTTAAGATTTTGGTGTATATCTTACTAGAAAAAACGGTTTATTTTTCCAAGACCTATATGCCGTGTAGTCACAACTTTGAGGGTATACGGGAAAGCTCTTCACGGATTTTTTATGGATATTATGCATCACTTTTGGCTATTATTTCAGATTTACCTTTATGCATTTTCCAGTAAAAGATTAATTTAGAATTCGACGAGAGTTCTGACGTTTTTTTGTAGCAACAAAATTAACTGTTATGGCAAATTGGCCACTTAAAGGTATTTTCATCACACATTTCTTGCACCACTTACATAGTTCATAACTATTTGAATATATACGAAAAAGTTACTTTTGGCAGTTAATAAAAAATTTTTTGTATCTCTCGAGGAGGAACTTTTCAAATATCATCAAGAATATAATTCCGCTGCAAAACAGGTTATTACAGTTTTTTCTAAAACAGGGTTGGCATTTAGATAGTCTAATTAAGGAATTTACTTTGTCACAAAATTAGGGTTGCATTTATCGCAATCACAGCCTTAGCGTAGTGTCCCTGTTCCCCTATAAAATTTTAGCTCTCATCTCTTGGATACGATGTGACTTTTTAAGTGCCGTTCACGCCAATTCCAACTGATTGACGGCTGCCCGTTATGGAGCTCACACTTTATTGGTTCACCAGAAAATTTACTGCGTCTAATATGGACTGACGTTCGACCCTGGTAAATATATCCGTTCCATGGATTTTCAGCCAAGATGTAGCGGTTTTCCAACATTTGCACAAATTACCACCCCAGGTTTTTTAGGGGCCTAATGCAGTCATAGTCTTATTTGCATTGACAGTCTTGATACCTTAGGGACAAAGGGTCAGTCGTATCAGCCAGTTCTGGATGCATGAAGTTCGACACGGTTAAGATGGGAGGCCGGAGTAAGGTCTGCCTAGCAGGCACATCGCGCGGCGGCATCATGGAGGAGAGCTCTGAGGAACAAGGCCCATTGATGTAGCGGTAGAAGAGAGCTAGATCGCCGAAGGCCCGCCGCACAGTGTGGCGCCCAATGGACAAAATTACTCAAAAACATAATTTTCGACATTAGAATTCTGTTGCTTTTATTATACCATTGGATAGATAAATAGTCACTGCAACACGTAAGTATAGTACTTTAATCAAGTTGGCTGCGATTTACCTATTTTAGCAACTTTAAAGTTAGACATGTCGAGACCTGTCAAGAAGGCGAAAAATCTCTCTGTTTTATTGCTCGGGAAAGATATAAATTTTGTGTCGAAATATTTAAATATTTTAACTTTTCCAATACGGCTGGTAATGAGGCTGGTAAGTACATTATATTGATGTATAGATTTATTTAAAATATAATTATAATTAGATAATTTTTTAAGTTAAAGTGACTATTACCGATTTTTTTAATTTTTTTTAAACTTTTGACTTTGTTTAGAGTTTTACAACAATCACCTCCCATCACCCTAAATTTTTTTTTACTTATTGTTTATCTGTCCATAGTAAGTTTTGATAAAAAGTTTGAATCACGTCATGCCACATCTAAGGGAGATATAATTTTTTTTAGGACATGGTGCTTTTGTCAGAAATAGAAATTTGATTGATGTGTGGATAGAAGCACCGAGAGGAAATAGAAAACAGGTGGTTTATGAAAAGATATTATCTCTTATTGATATCACAGATGAACCTTCCAAACATCTTAAAAGTAATATTATGAAATGCAGCCAGTTGTTTGGGTTGAAAATCGCAAATAAATGGCAGAAAGTAGGACAATCTCGGAATCGACTTTTACAAAATCAGGTATATTGGTTAGACAAGATTATATATAGAATAAATAATGATTCTGAAGAAAACACATCTTCGGATGAGGAACAAGAACCTCCTTGTCGCTCAGTTGGACGGCCACGGGTGCCATTTGAAGATGCATCGAAGAAAACAAAACGAAGACGTGTAGCCGAACTAACCACAGACAGATCTGCAAATGAACTTCAATTTGCTGTAAATGTCGTTTCTGGAAGCAATCACAGTGAGGTCTCGCCACAAATTTTTAGTTTTAGTACAGCTGAAGCTTTAGCGCTTATGGTAGATTTGGATATATCCGTAAGAAAGTATTTACTACTTAGGTCTGTTATTAATGGTAAGGCCCAGAACTGCCTTGCTAGGTATAAAGAATTACAGAAAACAAAAAATGCTATCATCCCTTCACAATTTATTATTACTGAAATTTCTGCAGAAGTTGATTTGCAAGAACTTCTACAGAAAACAGCTGAAAGTATCCTTGAAACAATGAATTTTGAAGAGAGAGATTGCCGGATTAAAGTGATATGCAAGTGGGGATTTGATGGTAGTTCTGGGCATAGCCAATATAAGCAGAAATTTTCTGATTTAGAAAACACCGTCGAATTTCTGTTTCTTGTAGCAATGACGCCACTCAGATTGATTGATAGGGAAACGAATAAGGTATTGTGGAAAAATGAGAGCCCTTCATCTACTTTATATTGTAGGCCGATCAAGTTTTTATTTAAAAAGGAAAATGCTGATTTAGTGCGGAATACGGAAAAGGAAATAATAACAAAAATTGAAAAGTTGATTCCTATTAAGATTAAAACAAAAGAAGGGCACTCTTATATAATTGAAGTTGATATGATGTTAGCAATGTTGGACGGCAGTGTTGGAAACGTTCTATCAGAGACAAATTCAACTATGAAGTGCATCATTTGCGGAGCCACACCCAAGGACATGAACACGTTAGCAGAGATTAACCGTCCTCCTAACGTAGACAATGACCGGTTTGGTTTGTCAACTTTACACTGCTGGATTCGTTTTTTTGAATGCTTACTCCATATTGGATACCGCCTGCCAATTAAATCTTGGCAGGTTCGTGGGCCTGAAAACAAAGCTATAGTCGAAGCAAAGAAAAAACGAATCCAAGCAGAGTTCAGAGCCAAGCTGTCTCTAATAGTTGACAAACCAAAACCCGGGTATGGCTCCTCAAATGATGGCAATACGGCCAGAATTTTTTTCCACAATCCACAAACAAGTTCAGATATCACAGGGGTTGACAGGGAATTAATCGAGAACATTGCGATCATCTTAGGAGTGTTAGCTAGTGGTTGCGCTATTGATATGGAAAAGTATGCGTCATTGCTGGAAGAAGCAAGAAATTTGTATATCCACCTTTATAAGTGGTACAACATTCCAAACACGGTACATAAGGTCCTTGTTCATGGGTGTGAGATAATTGATGCATTTTGTTTGCCCATTGGAGAACTGTCGGAGGATGCTCTTGAGGCTCGCCATAAAGAGGTTAGGAAACATCGATTATCTCACACCAGAAAATGTTCAAGAACAGATACGAATAAGGATCTCATGCGTGTTCTTTTACTTACTTCTGATCCTTTTATATCCTCCAAAAGAAAGGTGAGCTCAAAAAAATATAAGAAATGCAACGAGGCAGTTCAGAACTATTTAGAAAAGCAAGAAAATGGTGATTTAGGTATTGACTTAGGTACAATAACGAATGACAGAGCACCGAGCAAGAAATCCTATTCCGATTAGAATGGGTATATTTGGTGTTATTTTTTTAATATAGTTTATATTATTATTTCATACATTACCTACTAACTAATTGTTATTTTGTTAAATATATTTTTTTAAATAAAAACCTAAATATCAATTTCAAATTATACAGATTTATTTCTTATTTGAATTATTCTTATTATTTTTTCAAATAGATAGACAAATTTAATAAATCATATTGCGCCCGCCACAAGTTGGCTACATTATCTTTTAAATCATTCGGTAAAGATCTTGAAAAATAAAAGCGTGACTTTTTTGTCTCTCTTAAGAACGCTATAATAATATCCTACCTTATCCCAATTTATTCGAGATCATCAACTTAACATTTTGACTTTTACAAAAAAAAAACGATTTATGCGAAATGAATCCCGCCTGCTCCCCCACCCCTTCTTATTATTTTAAATAATTTTTGTCATACTTTAGAAAGCTACTTAAATAAGTAATCGCCCTGCGTTTACAGAATTCAAATAGGACCACTAGTTTTTAAGATATCGAATTTTGTCTCTGATCCCTATAAAGGAACGCACTGTGCGCCGGTGCGAAAGCATCCTGAGGCTGTGTATTTCAGAAGAGTCATCGATCAGTCGGACAGCCCTCCTCTAAACAGCATCGATAATCTTGTGTGAAAATTTCATCAAAATTCGAGCGGTACTTCTCATGTTATAGGCGGTTTTAAAATTAGTATAACATCCAAAAAACATAATATCTTCATTTTCGCCAATTTTGGCATAGGAAGTAAAAACTCTTACTCAATGCACTGAAAAATAAAATAAAGCAGACCCACATGCCATCCGACTTCCTTTTGATCTGTACATCTACTTCTGTCCCACCCTCTACACTAACAAATGCAAATGACTTATCAGAACAAACAGGAACTTTATCTAATCTTGAATACCTCCGAAGCGTCCGGGGCCGTATCTCTCTCCGAAGTGTATGAACAGACCACAACACGGAAACCGGGCATGGTTTCTACTCTCGGAAGCGTCATTTAAAATTTAAACAGGATCCATTCGGGTCATCGGAGTTCTAAGCTACGCCACAGCCGTACAAACAGTGTGTTTGCCAAACAACCGAGTCAGCAATTACTATGCTCTGTTCAATGGGCAATGGGAAAATAAGTATTGTTCAACGTGTAAGACTCAAATTGGGTTAATGTACGTTGTTGTTATAAGAAGTCGATGGTGGATTTGGCAGCTAAGGTCTTTGCAAGGATTTCCTGCTTAGGCTTTGAGTTGGTTACAGCTGCTCCATCCTGGCACGTAAGCGGTGAAAGAAGTTCTCTCAGAAAACATCGTAAGCCTTCCTTTCCGCAAAAAGTCCAGAAAAGATGGAATGCAATGAAGATTCCAACTTTTCTGCACAATCACAGAAAGGCGGTTACCATTAGCTTCCGATAGCTCAGTCGGTGGCATGAAGACATCTACAGGCGTGTAGCTGTGTGTCGACCATGGCATGGCTAGAGGATAGAAGAACAAACAGAACACAAAAATTTAACAGATTTTATTTAACTAGAAAAGCATTTTCATTACATTTGAAATTAATTTTAATTAATTAATTTCAAAAAAATAGCATCACAGCATATTTTTGCATCTTCCTGAGATTCAGCACAGCATTACAACACAGGTTATCCCAGTTATGGTCCGAGGAATAGCGATAGAGGCAGCAAACAAATTTGGGCCATGGTTTGGAGTTGTGCAGAAGCCACAGAATCTCCTTTAAGCCTGATTCCAAAGAGTCGTCTCTGGAGCAGGAAGAACTGCTCACATTGTAGTGCACCTCGTAGTTCGGGACTTTAAAATGATGGTCAAAATGTGTACCAAATATTTTCGTTAAAGACACTGGCATACCTTCATACGTATCTTTAATTCAAGTTTATTCAAACATATTCATTACCACCAGTGCCAAAATGATAACGGTCAAAGCATCGCTATTCCAGCTTACACATAGATGTACATATGTTTGTATAAATGTTTTTTATGTTTTCCAGCAGAGCCGAATGTGCTGCAGTTCCAACCAAATGTAGAACATCATATCATAAATTATTTATGGAGTAAATTAAAATACCTAGTTTTATCTCTTTGTACATTTAAAATTGCTTCGCGAATAAAACGGCAAAGTGGGAGTAATTACTTCATCTGATATGAATGCGCAGTGATAATTGTAGAATAAATAAAAAAGGAGTAGCTCTAGTAGCAGATATAAAAGCGGATCATATAGAGATAGATAAATACTTATCTTAAGGCCAATTTCACCAACAGTCTGTTATTCTCCACCTATAGGGTAACAGACCGTCAAATACAACGAATGAGCTTCAAGTTCCAATCAACAAATTTTAGCAACCAATAGGTATGAAAGGTTGAAAATAAAATACTGTCAAAGTATCAGATGATAGCTTGTCATTGACACATCCCCAGCTTATTGAATATTAAGAAATCACATGTAATTCAGTCAAAATTTAAAGAAATGTTGGATTTTTTAATAAAATTCATGTTTTAATTACTCTTGTTGATTTTTTATTCATGTTTATATTTTCTTCAATTGATATGCGATACTGGGTGTTTTTTCCTATAAACCTTTTGAGATAGCCATTAAGCACCTACTTAATGGCAGGCTCTACCAAAAGATATTGCTCATTTCCAAACATTCATTCATTTACTTGCCGTTCATCAAAACCATTATGGCACCTTAGATTGATATTCCCACAAAACCATTCAGGTTTTTTGATATCCATATATCCATAAAGTTGAATATTTTTCGTTGTTCAGGAACTGAACAAACATCCACCCTATATTCACAGCGATTAAGAAATTCCCAAATATATGCTTTAAAGCTACCAGCAAGCCTAAAACCTGCAAAAAAACTACAAATTTGGCATATTTTTCTTTTTTCACGAGTACACATTCTAGGTTATATTTATATTAGACATTATTTGAATACAGCTGGTTATTGCATCTGTCAACTCTTGGTACCAGTCACAAAACATATACTCTGAAGGTTTAATTCCTTGCTATTCAATGACAACACGGTGACTTGTGTGGTTGTCAGCGGCCATTTTGTGAGGGTGCGACAGGGTTTCCAGATTGTGCATTAATATCCCTTTTCACCCTCCTGGCCCCAGTGGAGTAAGTTCCGCCAACTGTTGAAATATACTCTACTATGCTTTATAAGACTATTCGTGACATTTTTCCCAAAATCATTGCACAACACTTGAAAAATGCAAATGAAAATTTAAAATTATTTCCATGACGCCGCAAAAGCTCCGTCGGTACCTTGGGTTATACATCTTGACAGTAGGGATGTTCGATACGATCCTATATTTAGAAGTATCAATACATTTCACGAGTACCGTCATCTTTCGACCCTGCCAAATCAGACATATCTGTCATTTTCAAAGAAATTGTACAAAATCTTCAAATTTGTGAAATTTCTCACTTCATACGTTGTTACCAGACATGCCCAAATCATCAGTTGCTGCCGTGATATTCATCCCGACCACAGCATCCCCACGGCTAGGCGACCTGTATGTTAAATTTGTATTGATAGGGCAGCGGGTTCTGCTATAAATCATATGTCACAGTGTTTGTGCACTGATTGCAAATGATACCAAAAATATTTTCATAAATAGGAGATCTTTCCCATTCCGGATCGAACAATCCACCAAAGATGCTTATAATCATGATATCTAGTAAATTTACATGAAAAATCCTCTGTATGTAGGTATATAAGAGCTTTCTTATGTTTGTTCATCAATTTGATGATACAACACATCTGCTAAAAATGAACATAATCAGGATAGCAAACTATGACGAAGTTCCACTGTATGTAAGAATTTTCAGATACTTCATTTGTAATTTGACAACAGACCATGACGGTGTTCACATTAGTACTATCTTTGTATTCCTACTTTAAATTCAAAACCAGCAAATGTAAAAGATTCATGTCGCATCCTTCATCACGGGACGTGATCGTCGTTAAACTTGACAACCCTGCGAGTGACAGATAGATAACCTCACCAGTGAAGAAGAATAAACGCTAATAGTTTTTATGTTTTTTGGACTTAAAAGACATTATTTGTAAGACATTTTTCATAATTTTTTTGTCTATGTCCATAGTCATTGCATTATGCATCACGGAGATGTAGGGATTGACACGTCTTACACATTATATCTGTGTTTTAGGATGGAGAGGACAATGTTTGTATTGCTTTGAAGAAATTCATTAACCCGTAAATTAATAAATGATTACTATTATGATGTAAAGGAAAATGACGAATTGGATGGAATGTATTTTATATTCTATTTTCTTGCAAAATACAGACAAATCCACACTATTCAACAGGTATGTAATGATAACAGTATAATGAACTTAAGTTCCAGACAAACGTCCAAATCTGCTGCCAAATTTAACAGCTAGAAAATCGACCTATTCCCATTGGCTTTTGGGGATAACTGATTGTTAAATGTAAATTTATAACACAAATCAAAATACATGAAAGTTGACCTATTTTCTCTGTACAAAAGCATCATGTTGGAATCAAGAAGTGGTCTTGTTTATAATACAGTCGAATTTTCACGATTTTATTCAATATTTTAATAGAAATCACTGATATTCTGAGACCTTTGACAGCTTCTGTCAAATTGCATTTCGATAAGGTATTTTCCCGTTGGTCCATAATATTAATGTTGGTGAAATCGGCCCTTATTCTGTTTAGTTCACGAACTGAGGAAGAATGCTTCCAGGAAATATGACACTTTTGGAATGTTTGCTATCTTTATTATTATCAACATTGAACTTGTTTGTTCTTATATGACTGTTCCCATAATACTCGTAATACTATTGTTCTGGGCTAATATATTGGTTAGGTATGGAGCTCCACAAGGAATTGTGTTAGGACCAGTTTTATATACTAAGTGACATATAAATCCGAACACCCAGTTTAAATGGTTTTATTTTAATAAAAGTCGGTGAATGTATTTATC